CTATCTATCTATCTATCTATCTATCTATCTATCTATCTATCTCTCATTCTATATCTCTATCTATCATCTCTTTCTCTCTCTTTATAAAATTTATTTGCCACCATCTCATATCCAGTGACTCTGGGGGCTTACAACATAAAAAAAATGCAAAAACGTTAAAATCATCCATTATAAAACACAGCAGATAAAAAAGCATTAATATATGTTCCTAGCAGGTTGGACCGCAACTCCCATGCTCCCCAGCCAGCAGGGCTTGGGCAGGTTCCTTCTGGGATGTGAGTGACAGAGATTACGTTTAGGATGTGGTCAAGCAGATTGCCAGCCTTTGCCCTCCGTCCTTGCTTCCTCCCCCCTCCCCCGCCCGTCCTTGGCTCCAGTTGGAAAGCCCCCTCCCCCCCCCAGCCCTGCATCCCCCTGGGAGGAGGGGGCTCCTCACCCCTGGGCCAGCCTGGCCCTGACCATCCCAAGGGCAGGCCAGGGACCATTCGTTTAGCATCCAGCTTTCTCCAGCCGGTCTGTGCATCCACCCACAGGAAGAGAGAAAATCCTTTCCTGCCCCCCCCCCCCTCCCCGGGCCCCCCCCCTGAGCAGCCCCCCCCCCCTCGCCCCCCCCCATTGCCCTTGGCCACACCTTTCCCGAGAGACTTGTGTCCAGGCAGGCTGTAAAGGGACTCAGGAGAGTGTCCGGCTGGCTCTGGCCATCTTGCTGGCCCGGGATCTGCCCGCTCCTGCGAACCCCAAATCTCAGCACCCCATCCTTCTGGAAGAGGCCCCCGCTTTTCAGGCTTTTCTGTGGCTTCTAGGCTGTTGGGAATGACCTCAACCGATTTACCCAAGGATCAGCCCTTCCTTCCTTCCTTCCTTCCTTCCTTCCTTCCTTCCTTCCTTCCTTCCGGTATCTGGAGACAGGTGAGCCTTCCTGTCTGCCTGGCCTCCTGGCCTGTGTTTTGCCCCCTCTGAACCCAACCACACGCTAGTGGCACAGGCTGGCACGCTTCCCAGTTCAGAGGGGGTCTACTGGTCGCCAGATGGGGAGCCAGAGGGACGATTCTGGTGCCCTTTAAAGTAGACTTTTGCCTTGGGCTCGTTTTGTCTTGGGACAACCCGTAGCTTGGGCGGACGGTGTTCTCTTCGTCATCTTCATCTCCAGTGCCTCCTTGAGGAGACCCCCCCCCAAAAAGCCAGTCTTATCCCGTTTTGGATTCTGCTTTTCCAAGAGTCCCAGTAAAGAGGGAAGAGACGCCACCCGGGGGCAGTCGCGGCTCCAAAGCAGGGGTCCTCAAACTTGGCCACTTTAAGACTGGTGGGCTTCGACTCTGGCTGGAGCTGGCTGGAGAATTCTGGGAGTTGAAGCCCCCCAGTCTTAAAGTGGCCAAGTTTGAGGACCCCTCCTCCAAAGGAAGGGTGGGGAGGTATGCTGGCTGAGGAGCGTGAAAACTGTAGTCCAAGCATGCAAGTAAGCGCAGGGGAAGGGATAACCCAACCCATATGGCCCTCCTGCTGCAGGGATCCGGGGGCCTCCCTCTGGACAGCCGAAGACACTGAACACAGAAGAAGCTGCCGGAGGAGGGAGGGGGCCTAGAGAGGAAGGAGCTGGAGTAGGACCCCCTCCCTGTGTGTCTGGCCTGGCTTCTACCGCTAGAGAGACATGGTGGCGCAGTGGTCAGAGTGCAGTATTGCATGGAAGACTCTGCCCACTGCCAGGAGTTTGATCCTGACTGGCTCCAGGTCGACTCAGCCTTCCATCCTCCCGAGGCCACTAAAATGAGGAGCCAGATTGTTGGAGGGGCAAGAGGCTGACTTTGTAAACTGCTTAGAGGGGGCTATAAAAGCACCGTGAGGCGCTATATAAGTCTAAGTGCGATGGCTACTTGGCTCTGACTTCTTTCTCTCCCCCCGACAACAGCTGGTCGACAGCCTTGGACGCCGCATCGCCCGCTACTTGAACCTCAACTTTTTCGACGCTGAGGACATCTCCACACTCCACGTCATCCGCCATTTCCCCCCCGAGCTAGAAGATGAAGATGAAGATGAAGAGGATTCTCTGGCTGTGTAACGCCTGTAAGATGCCAGTCAATTAAAAGGTTGGCCTCCTTGTTGAGACGGGTCCCCTCTGGTTCCCTGTATCCCAATGGGCCTCCAGACCTTGACAGGTGTGAACAACGAGCCCTGCCCAACACCGTGAAATTTAAGGTGGAGAAAAGCAGGGTTTTATAACTGGGCAGGAAAAACCAAAGGGACAAGTACAGATTAGGCGAAATGTGACTCAGAAATAGGAACTGGGAGAGGAACCTGGGAGTCCCGATGGATGATCCCACAAACACGAGCCAGCCGTGTGCGGCAGCAGCCAAAAAAGCCAATACAATCCTGGGTTGTATAAACAGAGGCACAGAATCAAAATCAGGTGAAGTTATTCATGCCGCTTTATAAACCCTGAGTAAGGCCGCACTTGAAATGCTGCATCTAGTTTTGGTCCCCATAAAAGAGGTTGAGACTTTGGAAAAAGGGCAGAGAAGAGCAACTGAGAGGATAGAAGGCCTGGAGGAAAAAAACAAAACATGATGAACGGCTGCAGGATTTAGGGATGGCTAATCTAGAGAAAAAAGGGACCGAGGGAGACATGAAAGCAGGATTCCAGTGTTTGAGGGGCTTCCACAGAGAGGAGGAAGGGGGCCGGGGGATTCTCCAAAGCCCCAGAGGGCAGGACAAGGAGCGATGGGTGGAAACTCATCAAGGAGAGAAGCAACCTGGAATTGAGGAGGAATTTCCTAAAGGTGAGGACAATTAACCGATGGAACTGCCTGCCACCAGAAGTTGTGGGTGCCTCTTCATCCCTGGAGGTTTTAAGGAAGAGGCTGGACAGCCACCTGTCTGGAATGGTGTAGGGTCTCCTGCTTGAGCAGGGGGTTGGACTAGAAGACCTCTGAGGTCTCTTTCGATTGATTAACTGAAACCTACAGGGTGGCTCTGGAGGCCCAGCAGCCCCTGGAGCCTCTCGTGATCCTGAGGCCGTCCTTGCAGGCCGCGGCCTCTGCTGCAAAAGACCAGGAGCAGGGAAAGTAATGGGGGAGGGGGCTCTCCCTCTGCAGTCCCTGGGGGGGCGGGGGGGGCGACACTGCAATAGATGCTCCGCCCTTTCCTAGCTCAGGGTCCCACCCTGGACAGCCTGACCAGGCCCAGAAAAAAAAAACCAGGAGGCGGTTCCAGGCTCTGCCAACCGAGATATCCTTGGAAGGCGCGGCACAACCAGCTCAGGATCAGGGGCAGGGCGTGACCTTCCCCGCCTGCAGGTGGGGGAAGCCTCCCTCGACCCCCCACCCACAAACGCCCGGCGAAGCAGCCGGAACCGGTTCCGCGCGCGGCCACGAGGTGGCGCTGCTGGCTCGCCTTCGCTCTCGCCCACCGGCGGCCTCCGCGGGGCAGCCCAGCCCAGGCGGCTGAAGCTCCCGGGGCGGTCACGGGGCGCAGCGCCCGGGCTCCCTCCTCGCAGGGAAAGGAGCGCAGCGAGCCTTTCCGAGCCCCTCCGCCGCTGCTTTCGGGTCCGCCGCCCCTCGCCTGGGCCCCGCGCAGGGCCGGCTTGGATCGCCCTCCGCGGGATTTGCGTGGCTGATGGGGGGCCCATTCCTGAAACGGGCATCTCTCAACCCCCCCCCCCCCCTTTAGAGCTCCCGGGGGCGGGGGAGGAGGGCAGGACCATTTGGCGGGGGGGGGGGCTTTCCCAAATGGGTGGGGAGGGGGCTCGGTGCCTCCTGCTTCTGTCGCCCCTTTTCAGGGGGGGGGGGGTTTCGGGCGGGGGGGGGGGGGCGCGGCTTCTCCCTCCCCCCCGTAAGCAGCTGCTCTTTGCCCGAGGTCCGCCTAGAGCTCCCCCCTCCGCCGGGTAACCTCACGCCCCTCTTTGCTCCAGCCTACCTTACAGGGTTGTTGTTGAAAGGTCGCTTTCCCTGCTGGAGGAGCTGCTGGAGGAGCGAGGGGAGAGGAGGAGGGGCCCCGTGGCCCTCTGCGCCCGACTCCCACGGCAGAACCCCGCCCCCCCGCCTGGGCTCCCCCGGGCGCCTCCCCACTTCTCCCCTTGCGCCGCGTGGCTCGTGTTGCGAGTGTGGCTTCCAGGAAGGGGGCGACGTGAGCCCCACCCCGCCTGGCTTTGCGCGAGGGCGGCCAAGGGGGCGCCGAGCCCGGGAAGGGCCCCGCCGAAGCTGCCGGGCCAGCACAGCGGCCGGCAATCCCCGCAGCAGAGCGTGGCGTTTCTGGCAAAACTTCCCCGGGATCCAGGCGTCCCTTTGGATCGCAACCAAACTGCGCTCGGCCGGCCCGGGGACGTCTTAGCTCGGGTCGGGGGCCTGTTGCATTCTCACGACCGGCTGACTCTTGCACGCTCCTCGAACCAAACCGGCTGCGCTCGCGGGATCAGCCAGGGCGCCCCAGGGAAGGTGCCACGCGCGTGGGGAAAAGGAACTCGGATCCTTAGCACGTGCGAATGCAGCTCTGGGGGTTACTTGCGTGGTGCACAAGACGAAAAGGGGCGAAACTCCCGGGTCAGAGTCTTTGCGGGGCTGCGGAGGGCCGGGCCCTTCGGGCCACCTCCCGTCCCCCCGTCCCTCTGCCGGGCCAGTCCCCGGCCGCTGCAGCTCTTCCCCCGGGGCTGCGGGCGACCCCTCCCCGACGGGCTCTCGGAGCGAACCATGCCGGCCGCGCAGCCCCCCAGGCGGCTTTCCGGGGGGGGGGGGCGAGTGGGGGCATCCCTGGGGGGCGCTGATCTCTCCCCTTACCGCTTCGTTTGTGGCCGGGCGGGGAGGGGCGCGAGAGTCCTCTGGCTCCTAGCGCCGGCTGCCTAACAGCGTGCCCTTGACCGCGTCTTTTGCGCAGAATGGGCTTTGTAGTCCAGGAGGCCGGAAGCGGGAGGTAGAGCCCGGTTCGCCCTTCCATTCCGCCCCCCGGCAACAAAGCCTTTTGGCCGGGGCCCCTTGTCAGCTCCGGGCGACCCAGGAGCCCCCAAAACTCGGGGTCCTGGGCGTGGGGTGGGGGCGGCCCCGGAAAACGCTTGAGCCCGGGGTGGCCCATGGCAGGAGGAGCAGGGAAGCGGCGTGGTGGTCGGGGGTCTGGTTCACAAGCAGCATTTCAGATTCAAATCCCAACGTCTCCCCCCCCATTTAATGCAGCCTGGTTGTATTCGAACTGCGTTCCCCCCGGGGGCCAATTCAGGCGGGGGCACGACTGCCAGTCCAAGCGCTCCATACACACTCGCCCCCTCCCCATTCTTGGCAGAAGAGGTAGCGGGCAGAATCGGCCGCCCCCCTGGCCTTTGCTGCCCCGGGGGGGGGGGGGGCCCGGGGAGAGGCGGCTGGCGGCGGACGCCCCTCTTTGGGTGTTGTTGCAACGCGGGGGGGTGGGGGGGTGGGGGGGAAGTGGCGGCCAGGGCGCCTGTCCTTGAGGCTGAGGCTTTGGGGAGGGGTCGCTCCTGCCGCAGGGACAGAGTGGAAGTGACAGGGACCGAGCGACCCCCCCACTGCCCCCTCCCTGCTTGCAAAAGACTTGGTGGGGCTCCTTTCCTGCCCTTCCTGAATCTGGAGCACAGAAGAGCTGAAATGCACCAATGCGCCTTGGTGGTTCAGTTCTTAATTGTGGCACACTGCTGACTTCATCAGATGCAGAAAGAAAGCACTGCAGCGTTTCTCTGCCCCGTTCCTCCTTCCCTCTGCAGTTTCCTCTCTTGCCTATTTCTATTTATTTATGCATCATATCGATATTTATCTGGTATGATATTTCCAGACTGTCCCAGTTAAAAAAGGCGGGGAACCCTGCGCATTACTGATGAAAGCAGAAAGGAGCCGTCAGGTGACAGCGTCCATGGGATGATAGGATCAACAATGCCACGCAGGGAGAGGGCCAGGCGCCATCACTGCAAAGTCAAATGGACATAAAATGGGATTTGGGGCCAACCTCGAGGAGGGGGCAGGGGGGTTGTGGTGGGGCTGGGCTGCTCCCAAGAAGGCCTGTCTTTTGGCCTCCTTTCCCCCCAATACAATTAAGGCACCTCCTTTTGGGGGGGGAACCCCCCCCCAACTTTTGCACAGGTGTTCCCGGTCTCCGGCATAACGCCAGAGAAGTCACTGGAAGGCCAAATCACGAAACTCTGCCTCGCTTATTTTGGCCATGTCGGGAGGGGGAATTCACTGGAGAGAGCAAATGGTGTTGGGGTGAAGGGAAACCGGGCCGCCAAGGGACACTATGGCTGTATACCCTCCCAGCTGGCACCAGCCAGAGCAACAGAACCGGCTCAAGATTGGAGGAGGTGAAGAGAGCGCCTGGCAGACAATCGGCAAGACTCGAACTCCACTGAAGGGGTTATGCCAGCATCATCCCGGCAGAGCTGAGCCCTGGGACGAAAACCTGAAGGGGACACCAACCCCCTTACTGCTGCCCCCAGCTGCATGCCCTGACCTGGCACCTCCCTATTTAACCCAGGTAAATGGGACACCTGCAGCCTGTGGATCTGACTGACAAGTAAAAGGTGGGGGGGGGGGAATCCAATAAAGCCCAAATGTTATTACAGCCGCTTCCTTTCCCACGCAGAGCCACGAATATCCGTTCCCTGCCTCAGCTCCTCTGAGAAATACTGTAGATTCACCTCATCAGGTAGAAACAGAATAAAACTCTGCTTGAAAAAAATAAGAAAGGCAACGTGCCATTTTATTTCTAAATACTGTAGTTGCATGCAAGGTTTTCAGGAGGAGATGCAGAGCTATCTACATTAATTAAAAAAGGAATCCCTGCAGATTTTGCTCCATTAATGGTTGCCAACTCGAGGGAGTGGCGCTCAACTCCATCTCAAGGCTATTGAGACCCCGCTGTCCGAAGGTGTTTCTGTGATCGTGTGGCCAGCGTGACGTTGCAGAGCGTCGTTACCTCCCCACAAAAGCGGCACCTATTTATCTACTCGCACTTGCATGCTTTCAAACTTCTACGCTGGCAGAAGCTGGGGTCAGAATGGGAGCTCACCCCCTCACATGGCGCTTGGGACTCGAACCTGGACTGCCGGCTTTCCAGCTGACAAACCCAGCGGTGGTGCCCGATATGTATTA